ATGGGGTCTTCTAGATATACAATCATGTCATCTGCAAATAGAGACAGTTTGACTTCCTCCTTTCCTAATCTGATACCCTTTATTTCTTTTTCTTGCCTGATTGCTCTGGCTAGAACTTCCCATACTGTGTTGAATAGGAGTGGTGAGAGAGGGCATCCTTGTCTAGTGCCTGATTTCAAAGGGAATTCTTCCAGCTTTTGCCCGTTCAGTATGATATTGGCTGTAGGTTTGCCATATATAGCTTTTACCATTTTATGATACGTTTCATCAATACCTAGTTTATTGAGAGTTTTTAGCATGAAGGGCTGTTGAATTTTATCAAAGGCCTTCTGGGCATCTATTGAGATAATGATGTGGTTTTTGTCTTTGGTTCCATTTATGTGATGGATTACATTTATGGATTTGCGTATGTTGAACCAGCCTTGCATCCCCAGGATAAAGCCTACTTGGTCGTGATGGATAAGCTTCTTGATGTGCTGTTGCAATCTGTTTGCCAGTATTTTATTGAAGATTTTTGCATCAATTTTTATCATGGATATTGGGCTGAAGTTTTCTTTTTTAGTTGAGTCTCTGCCAGGTTTTGGTATCAGGATGATGTTGGTCTCTAAAATGAATTAGGGAGAATTCCCTCCTTTTGTATTGTTTGATACAGTTTCAGAATGAATGGAATCAACTCCTCTCTGTCTGGTAGAATTCGGCTGTGAACCCGTCTGGACCTGGCCTTTTTTTGGTTGGTAGGCTATTGATTGCTGCCTCTACTTCAGCCCTGGTTATTGGTCTATTCAGGGTTTCAGCTTCCTCCTGGTTTAGTTTTGGTAGAGTACAAGTGTCTAGGAATTTATTCATTTCTTCCTGGCTTACTGGTTTATGTGAGTAGAGCTGTTTGTAGTAATCTCTGATGGTAGTTTATATTTCTATGGTATCAGTGGTGATATCCCCTTTATTGTTTTTTATTGCATCTATTTGATTCTTCTCCCTTTTCTTTTTTATTAATCTAGCTAGCAGTCAATCTATTTTGTTGATCTTTTCAAAAAACCAGCTCCTGGATTTATTGATCTTTTTGAAGGGTTTTTTGTGTCTCTATCTCCTTCAGTTCTGCTCTGATCTTAGTTATCTCTTGTCTTCTGCTAGTTTTTGAGATTTTTAAAAAATGTTGCTCCTCTAGTTCTTTCAATTTTGATGACAGGGTGTCGATTTTAGATCTTTCCCCTCTTCTCTGGTGGGCAATTATTGCTATAAATTTCCCTCTTGATACTGCTTTATAGGTGTCCCAGAGATTCTAGTAAGTTGTGTCTTCATTCTGGTTGGTTTCAAATAATATCTTTATTTCTGCCTTCATTTCATTGTTTATCCAGTCAACATTTAGAAGCAAGTTGTTCAGTTTCCAACTGGTTGTGCAGGTTTGAGTGTGTTTCTTGATCCTGAGTTCTAGTCTGATTGCGCTGTGGTCTGATAGACTATTTGTTATGATTTCTGTCCTTTTGCATTTGCTGAGAGGAGTGATTTGCTTCCAATGATGTGGTCAATTTTAGAGTAAGTTCAATGTGATGCTGAGAAAAATGTATATTTTATGGATTTTGGGTGGAGTGTTCTGTATATGTCTATTAGATCTGCTTGGTTCAGCTCGGCATTCAAGTCCTGGATATCCTTGTTAATTTTCTGTCTCATTGTTCTGTCTAATATTGACCGTGGAGTATTGAAGTCTCCCACTATTATTGTTTGGGAGTCCAAATCTTGTTTTAGGTCAGTAAGAACTTGCTTTAGGTGCTCCTGTGTTGGGGGTGTATATATTTAGGATAGTTAGCTCTTCCTGTTGGATTAATCTTTACCATTATGTAATGTCCTTCTTTGTCTCTTTTGATCTTTGTTGATTTGAAGTCCATTTTATCAGAGACTAAGATTGCAACCCCTGCTTTTATTTGTTCGCCATTTGCTTGGTAAATCTTCTTCCATCGCTTTATTTTGAGTCTCTGTGTGTCTTTGTATGTGAGATGGGTTTCTTGAATACAGCACATGGATGGGTTCTGACTTTTTACCCAGTTTGCCAGTCTGTGTCTTTTGATTGGGGCGTTTAGGTCATTTACATTCAATGTTAATATTGTTATGTGTGAATTTGATCCTGCCATTTTGTTACTGGCTGGTTTCCTTTCTCATTAGTTAACTCATTTTTTTCATTGCATTTTTGGCCTTTGCTAACTGGTTTGCTTTTGCAGTGACTGGTACTTGTTCCTTTCCATGCTTAGTGTTTCTTTCAGGAACTCTTGTAGGGGGTCTGGTGGTGACAAAATCTCTCAGTAATTGCTTGTCCATAAAGGATTTTATTTCTCCTTCACTTACAAAGTTTAGTTTGGCTGGATATGAGATTCTGAGTTGAAAGTTCTTTTCTTTAAGGATGTTGAATATTGGCCCCCACTCTCTTTTGGCTTGTAGGGTTTCTGCCGAGAGATCGCTGTGAGTCTGATTGGCTTCCCTCTGTGGGTGACCTGACCTTTCTCTCCGGCTGCCCTTAGCATTTCTTCCTTCATTTCTACCCTGTTGAATCTGAAGATTATGTGCCTTGGGGTTGCTCTTCTTGAGGAATATCTTTGTGGAGTTCTCTGTATTTCTTGAATTTGAAATTTGGACTGCCTTGCTAGGCTTGGGAAATTCTCCTGGATAATATCCTGGAGTGTGTTTTCCAGCTTGGATTCATTCTTCCCATCATATTCAGGTACACCAATCAAGTGTAGATTAGTTTTTTTCACATAATCCCATATTTCTTGGAGGCTTTGTTCATTTCTTTTCACTCTTTTTTCTCTTGTGTTGCCTTCTCTTTTTATTTCATTGAGTTGATCTTCAATCTCTGATATTCTTTCTTCTGCTGATTGATTCGGCTATTAAAACTTGTGTTTGCTTCACGTAGTTCTTGTGCTGTGTTCTTCAACTCCACTGAGTTGTTTATGTTCTTCTCTAAGCTGGTTATTCTAGTTAGCATTTCGTCTAACCATTTTTCAAGGTTTTTGGTTTCTTTGAATTGAGTTAGAATGTGTTTCTTTAGTGCTGAAAAGTTTGTTATTATCCACCTTCTGAATCCTGTTTCTGTCAATTCTTCACACTCCTTCTCGGTCAAGTTGTGATCCTGTGTTGTTGAGGAGTTGTGGTCCCTTGAAGGAGAAGAGGTGTTCTGGTCTTTGATGGTTTCACCTTTTTTGTGCTGTTTTTTTTCCATCTTTGTGGATTTACCTGGTGGTGGTATCAGAGAGCTGCTTGATGAAGTCGCTTGTCTGCCTGTGGGGGCGATACTGGATTTCTAGGGACTCCTTCAGGTTACTAGGGAAGCTTCCTGTGTCTTTTTTGTTTATGCTGGGAGGTTAGGCCCGCCTCTTCTGCTGACCTATAGGCGCTGCTGGATTGTCAAGAACGCCTCTGGTTGCTACGTAGGCTTCCTGTGTTTTTTGTTAAAACATGTAGCCCAGTCCCACCCCTCTAGTGGTGGGTTGTGCCCTTTCTCCACTGGGCTGGATCATTCAGGGTTCATCTCAGACTGTGGCATTGGCTATGCAACCAACTAGAGTCAGTGCTTCAGCCCTCTGGGGTTTGTGGGGGAGGTTGGGGACCCGCCCAGCTGCACCCGGCAGTCTCCCTCTTTCAGCTTTCTTTCTCTCTGGTCATGGGGTAGGGGCTGCCCAGCTGCTCCCACTTACAGCTCCCTCTCTCTCCTGACGGGGGGAGGGGGCGATAACTCAGTCTGCAGACTCTTATTCAACTCCACACTTGTAATTCCTGGCACTTGACTGGCAAAGATCCCCTGTTCTGTGTATTGCTGAGGCTTTGGGAGAAGCACTGTATCTGGACCTGAGCACCAGAGGTGGAGCTTCCAACTCGCCGGTCAGATGCACTTTCTGGGTGAAGCAGCACCCCTCCCCACCTCAGTCTGCCCTGAGTGGGCTTTGCTCACCCTCAGACCAGACCCGTTGAAATGCACCTGGTACCTCGGTTGGAGCTAGGAGATCTCTGGGTTTCTGCGTCTCTTTTGCTGGGTGTTGTGCGCTGGAGTTGTGTCTAATCCACCATCTTGGATCCTCCCGAGCTATTCATTTATTCTTTTCTTCATCTAACAAATATTTAGTGAGAGCCCACTAGCTGCCAGTTTCCATGCTAGACTTGGTGGGCAAACGGGACCTTATCCACTGTGAAGACATGGTTCTAGTGGAGGGGAGATCTGGTTCTTTGTCAGGTCCTTAAACCCTTTTGGGTTTTAGTATCTTCATCAGTAAAATAAAAATGAAGTTCAGGCCAGGTATGGTAGCTCACAGCTATAATCCCAGCTAGGAGGCCAAGGTAGGAGGCTCTCTTGAGACCAGGAGTTCAAAACCATCCTGTACAACATAGTGAGACACTTAAAAACAAAAAAAAAATTAGCCAGGTGTGGTGGCTAATTTTCCAACTATCTGGGAAACTAAGGAGGGAGAATTGCTTGAGCCCAGGAGTTCAAGGCTGCAGTGAGCTATGATTTCACTCCAGCCTGGGCAACAGAGCAAGACTCTGTCTTTAAAAATAAAAGAAAAGAATAAAAAAAAATTCAGCTTTAAAATTTCAGGATAGTATCATCCTATGACACTGTTTACCTGGCTGACTAGTTGCAGATCATTGATTTATTTATTAATTCAGCAAATGCGTATTGATGCTTACTATATGTAGGCACTATGCTAGGTGCTAGAGATATAGTAGTAGCCAGAGCAGACATGAGGTCTGACCTCATGGAGCATTACTTAAAACCTGTGAGGTATATGTTGACTAGGTGATTGTGAATGTGATTAGTTGTATGAAGGGCAAAATGCTAGTTTTGTCGAACGGAAACTTAAAAATGTGTGTTATTTTTGATAGAAGGGGTGTGAAATTTGTCGAATGGAAACTAAAAATGTATGTTATTTTTGATAGAAGGGGTGTGATAAAACATTTATCAAGCTTGCTTTTTCCTTCCATTTTATGAGTTTACACAGTCTTGTCTGCTTAAACAGGAGCAGTTGGACATCATGGAGACAACTTAGTAGAGAAGATCATATCAGCACTTCCCCAGCTCCCAGGCCACACAAATGATGTGATGGTTAACATGATAGAGCTCACTTCACTCCAAACTGAGGAGGAAAATTATAATGTGGTTGCACCAGGCTGTCTTGCACAATCCAAGTAAGATATGTAGTTTTTTTCCCCTTATCTTTCTCTATCTTTCCCTTTCTTTTTCTCCTAGACTGAGTAGTCCCATGGAAGTAAAAGCAATGAAGAGTTGATCGGGTTGAAAAATTCACAGTGGGTAGTATTTAGCAAAAAGCATTTTTTCTTAACTTTGAAATAACCATATCCACTAAACATAACAATAATCCAGAAAGCATGGAATTTTATAGAAGTGTCATTTACATGTAATATAAGCTTGTTCCCAGGATCGGTTAAGTGAGTCAGTTTATGTATCTCCATTTCACAGATAGTTTCACATGGAATTGAGTCTAGACTTCCTTAGTTTCTTTTTCACAGTTGACTTTTTTGTCTCACTAAAGAACAACTCAAACAGCAATGAAATCATGCCATTTTTTTTTTGATGTTAGATGATATGGATATCAACAGAATTTTTATTTCTAAGTATATTTTTTCAAATGATTAGAGAAATCAGAAAGAAGATTGTATACTTTAAGTTATGCAGAGTTTAAAAATAAAAATTTCTCCAGAAATGACAATAAAAATATATGGTAGTCACCCTCTCAACTTTGTCCTTCATTAACAATTTCTATGGGAATTACTCTTATTTGAAAAAAAGTATTAGAAGGGAAAAAAATATATAAGTATGTCTGTTTCTTTTATTTTCATGTATTACATTTTTAAATAAAATAGGATCTTTTAGTATTATAGTTTTAAATCTTAACCATAGCAGATGCATTTGGAATTTCCTTCCATATTCATTAATAGAATTAGTGTGTAGCTCCTGAAGTTTTTAGCCTTTTGTAGATAATTAATAGTACTTATTGGATACCCAATGGTTACAAGTCAATGTGGGAAGAAAATGGGAAGTTCTAGACTTTTGTCTATTTTATGTGTTTACGCATACAATAAAAACATAGGCCTAAAGTCTTGCAGTTCTACAACCCCGGAAGTTATGTGATTGGAAACCCTTTTAGCTGTTCAGAGGGCCATTCTGAAGTTAATAATTAAGAGCTTACTGGGAACCTTACTCTAGGTTAAGTAACAAGAAGGACATAAAATAATACATCATTCTTCAAACACTCTTTGTTGAGGAGTCATGATTTATACCCCAGGACAATGTGAAAACAGTAGAAATGATGTGAAATTAAGAGCAATGTATCTGCTATGGAGTATGATTTCTATAAGTAAAGTATCAGGTTAATGTGTTCTTTGTAGATCAATGTAGACCTTGAGGAAGTGGTAGTGCTTTAACTATGTCTTGAATGACTTAGAAAAGAGGAGGGGGTTGGTGTGAACCAAAGTATAGAAACAAAAAATAGTCAGGACCTGATGTGATGGGTTTGAAACAGAGAGATAACCTCTTTGGACCACTTCTGTCATCTGCTTTGTTCATATGTTTTGGGAGTTATTATGAGGCAGGTACACTTCCAAGCATTTACATTTGGAAATCATTTTAAGTTTGACAGTATCCTAAAGAGGTAGATATTGTTATTCCCCTATTTTGTATGTAAGGAAACTGAGGCAAAGAGACATTAAGTAACAGAGCTAATGGGAGGTAGAGCTAGAAATGAGTCCAGAATGTTTGACTTTAGGCCAGCTGCAATGGCTCATACTTATAATCCCAGCACTTTGGGAGACTGAGGCTGGTGGATTACCTGAGGTCAGGAGTTCGAGACTGGACTGGCCAACATGGTGAAACCCTGTCTCTACTAAAAATACAAAAATTAGCCAGGCATGGTGGCAGGTGCCTGTAATCCTAGCTACTTGGGAGACTGAGGCATGAGAATATTTTAAACCCAGGAGGCAGAGGTTGCCGTGAGCCGAGATTGTAACACAGCACTCCAGCCTGGGCGACAGAGTGAGACTCCATCTCAGGAAAAAAAAAAAAAAAAAATTTGACTTTAGAGCCACAGTCTTTTTTTTTTTTTTTAAATGGGGTTTCACCATGTTGGTTAGGTTGGTCTTGAACTCCTGACCTCAGGTGATCTGCCGCCTTAGCCTCCACAGTGCTTGGATTACAGGCGTGAACCAACGTGCCTGGCCCAGAGACACGGTCTTAGCTTCTATGCTATCTATATGCAGGGGCCAGAGAAGAGCTAGGCTCTTGAATAGATTTAAAGAGATGAGAGACAAAAATAAAGTTACTCTGTGACTTAATTTGGGAGTCCTGTTTTTTTCAACATAGTGATTATACAAACAATGGAAATAAATTTTGACTAATTTCAGCAATAAAAGATTATTAAAGGGTATTGGGTGGCTAAAAGAATCAAAGAAAGGATTATTAAGCAGAGTTTTGAAAGGACAAAATAGTTCTAGGAATTTAGGGAGCAGAGCTCAGGAAAAGCTTCTTTAAGGCCTTGACCTTAGAGAGACTGAATTTTAACTATTTTTTTGAGTCCTACTGCTCAAGATTCAGATTCTGGGGGAAATGGTAAGAATGGCTTTTCTTGGCCTTTGTGCCCACCTTTTGCCCAATATGGGTTGGGAGCTCTTTATACTGATCAAGAATTATGCTAATATCATATGGCATGACAGAGGGGTGGTTCTTCAAAGGAAAATGAACTCCTATCACAAGATAGGGGAACAGATGCTGGACATGCAAAAATAATAGATGCTCCTTAGTAATAGCACACACTTATAGAGGACTTTTTTTTTTTTTTGAGATAGAGTCTTGCTCTATCTTCCTGGAGTGCAGTGGCATGATCTTGGCATACTGCAACCTCTATTTCCTGGGTTCAAGCAATTCTCCTACCTCAGCCTCCCAAGTTGATGGGACTACAGACATGTGCCACCATGCCCAGCTAATTTCTTTTGTATTTTTAGTAGAGATGAGGTTTCACCAAGTTGGTCAGTCTAGTCTTGAACTTCTGACTTCAGATGATCCACCTGCCTTGGCCTCCCAAAGTGCTGGGATTACAGGCATTCTTATAGAAGACTTTTTGTGTAACAGGGAGCCTGGTAGAAGACTTTTTGTATAACAGGCAGTGTTCTGAGCACTTAACATGTATTAGCTTACATACTTCCCACAGTATCTCGATGAGGTAGATTCTTTTATCCCCCTTTATAGAAGACAAAGGAAGTTAAATAATATGCCTAAGGTAACACACACAGTTAGATATGGTGGAGACCTGTATTTGAACCCAGGCAGTCTGGCTCTAAAGTTAGTGTTTCCCATTAACCTATGCCACTTCCACAGAAACCCAAGAAAGTTAAAAAAGAATAAGTAAGCACCCCAGAGGAGTTTGAAAAAAGAGAGAAGAGTTGAATCCATCATTGGACAGCAGACAAAGAAGCAAATTCTTAGCATAGTAGTACAAAGATAGCTGTAAAAGTCTCTCTTGGTCCTATAAGTAATGTTTTGATTATAGTCACTTTCCTTAACGTTAACTCCCCAGCCCTGATTCCACTACAAGCCTAGACCAAGGCTAAGCCAGTCTTGGAATCGCATTTTCCTTGGCAGTGATGCTTTAGAAATGGGCGAGTGACAAGAGAGAAAGTCTTAGGGCTTCTTGGTCAGGTTTCTTTGCTACTGACAAGAGATGCAATATAAATGTGTCTATTCTTCCAGATGTGACCAGTGTCAGACATGTTGAGTCTGATAACTGCTGCAGCGATCTTGCTCACATCTGGAAGTTAATGCTGACATTTGGAAGGTGGCCTAGCCAAGAGAACTGCAGAGAGGAGCAGCTATAAGCTCCAGGATGCACGATGTTTGGATGTTATGTTGTACAAGAGAATATATTTCCTATTGTTTAAGCCAAATTTAGTTGCTGTTTTCTATCATTTGCAAAGTCATCGTGACATATTTTCTACACCTCATTATTTCAGCTTGTAAAATGAGGGCATTGGCCTAAATGACTTCTAAGGCTCTTGTTGGGTTTAAAATGAAAATCCTTGCTAACTGAGCCCCTGCTGTGACTTGGCTCTGCCTCTCACTTAGGCTATGTTCATGTGTACATATTTTGTCTCCATGGCTTTTGCCTTCATTGGTTGTCTTTTTCTTCTCCTTGGATTATGAGTGAGTGTTATCGTAGATTAATGAGCTCTTTCTTGGAGATGGCGTTTTGCTCTTGTTGCCCAGGCTAGAGTACAATGGTGTGATCTCTGTACATTGCAATCTCTGCCTCCCAGGTTCAAGTGATTCTCCTGCCTCAGCCTCCCAAATAGCTGGGATTACAGGCACCTGCCACCACACTCAGCTAATTTTTTGTATTTTTAGTAGAGACAGGGTTTCACTATGTTGGCCAGGATGGTCTCAAACTCCTAACCTCAGGTGATCCCCCTGCCTCGGCCTCCCAAAGCATGGGGATTCCAGGTGTGAGCCACCGTGCCTGGCCTCAGAATATGAGCTTTGAGTGCCATTCAAAAATCACATTTTTATAATCCCAGCATTTTGAGAGGCCAAGGTTGTTGGATCATTTGAGGTCAGGAGTTCAAGACCAGTCTGGCCAACGTGGTAAAACCCCATCTCTACTTAAAAAATATATATATAAATTAGTCAGGTGTGGTGGCACACACCTGTAATCCCAACTACTCAAGAGGCTGAGGCAGAAGAATCACTTGAACCTGAGAGGTGGAGGTTGCAGTGAGTTGAGATTGGGCCACTGTACTCCAGCCTGGGCAATAGAGTGAGACCCTGTCTCAAAAAAAAAAAAGTATAATTATAAGTGTTGGTGAGCTGCGCCCTCCGCTCTGAGGGTTTGTGGCTGACCACTAAAAAGAAAGAAATAAATAAGTGTCGAAGATGAGTCTAGAGGGATACAAATAAGAAGAAAGCTTTAGAGATAGCAGGTTTGCTGAAATTGTGAAACCGAAAGTCAGATAGTAAAAGATAATGAGATAGGTAGTGAGAAAATTATAAACAAAGAGAAGTCTAAAGCAATAATTGGAAGAAAAATGGTAGTCTTTTTCAATTGCTTAGAAGACTGAGGGAATTATGTTGATTAATTTCTCTTCAAAAGAAGAATTGAAACAAATCACAGCTTTCCTCGCAT